TGCACTTTATTGAATCATGTGTTGTAATTACTGGATATCATGTTTGGCAATCATCACCAAAGTGTGTATGAAACTAACTGTCCATTGTGCACAGAGCAGTAAGTGAGTTTTATAAAAGACTGACAGCTGAGTTGTTGTTTAAAAGGAACATAGACTCATACCGAGGATTCTCAGTGCCTCTTCCAGATGATTGTGAACTGGATGTAGGCTTCAAAGGGTCTGTGTCAGGGCTCCAGGTATGACCAGAGGTGTGTGGACTGACACAGGGAAACGCAGGCTTCAGATATGGTATAAACAATATGATTTATTAAGACTAACAATACAAAATGCAGTGCAAAACTAAACATAAACACAGTGCAAACAAACCAAACCACCTACAGATAACAATACATACAATGCAAGAGTCGCCAGGCAGGCCGGGTCAGTAGCAAACGGGCAAACGGAGTACCAGGAACAGACGGGAGAGTGGTCGGCGTCACAAGCTGGGTTCAGTAACTCACGGGCAGCGCAGTGCAGAGGGTCAGGCAGAGAATGGTCAGGGTCACAAGCCAGGGATCAAACAGGAGAAGTCAGCAGAGGTCAGGATCAGGCAGGGTCGGCAACAAGTCAGGCAGGAACAGGAACACAGGATACAAGATACAGGGGCCCATGGAAAAACACACACCAAGACCCTGACTGTGAGTCTGGCTATTCCTTAAATACAACCCCTGCAATCAGCTTCAGGTGTTTGGCTGACTGCAGGGGTGAGTCTCTGATTGCTGAGAGCACCCGCTCCAGCCCTGGTACTGCAGCCCACAAGGCAGGTGAGTCCCACCATTATTGGCAAGTCCATTCCTGACAGTCTGATTACTGTTCTTCATCAGAAATCAGGAACACTTGAAAACAAAAAGAAAAAAATGAAGTACTATACAACAGATACAGCAATGTAACAAACATTTTCACTGGTAATAATTCCAGTCTAATGGACATCAAACAATACAAGAGAGAAATAATAACTATTTATATATATGTATGAAGTGCCTAAATAATTTGAAGGGTTGTGTGGAAGACAAATGTAAGGTAAGTATACTTTGCAAAAAAACACACACAGATCCATAGCACCACTCAAGACCGGCCTCTACTGCACATAGACAAACTGCGCGCCAGCCATCACAGTCCATCTGCACTCTCCACCGAAAACAGAAAAGAATATTTGCTGCACTCCATTTAGCTCTTCTTGCAGTATTTTTAATCATCAATTAATTGGCTGCATACAGCAATGTCTCCAACACAAAACCAACCTTCCTTCACATGTTTCACCACTTCTGGTATCTTTTTCAATTTTTATCCACAGTTTGTGGAGGTTTTTTTAATATGGAATGTGGCATTTTACATTTAGGGGAATGGTTGGTGGACAACAATTTAATGTTGGTGCAAGATCCACTTTATGTAGATGACTGTGAAAATGAAGTTTGTAGAGATAGGATGCAGAGGGAATTCATCATTATTTTACTGATACCATCAATATGAAATAAAAGTATATGAAGACAGCAAACAATTATTAGTGCATGATTATGTGGAGAGAATAAGAATACATTATCAAAAACTGAAGCTTTGAGAACATTTGATTATTAATTGCTAGGGATAAGTAAAATTGGCACTAATAATTTCTCTACAATTTCAAATAAATCCAGCAAAATTTCACACGTTTTAAAACAGCAGACAACATTTAAGTTGTTTTTAAGGGTGTAATGGGCTATAAATATTCCCCAAGGTTACAGAAGCTCTTTTGAACTATCCTAGGCTCATTTTCTCACAACAAAAAAATGATCCCTTGTCTCCAAAACAGGGAGTATGAAGACAGACTAATTACAGGTAGTAATATTGAACTAAAAGATCAGCAACAGATTTCCTCACTTCCTGTTCTTGTGACGAGAAGATCTGTTTGTCACTAGGACAGAAAGGTACAGAGAGCATTAGAAATACTGACAGAAATTCTTATATTTCCACACTTTACTGTAAATCTGATTTTAATTTTGCCTGTGCCCACATTAGAGAGATTTAGCATCACTTCCTGTCTTGGCAGGAATCTCTCTATTAGAGATAATAATTGAAAATACTGACAGAGGATCTACATTTTCCATACTCTCTACTCTCTTCAAAACAAATAAAACGTTTTGGCTAGAGTCATGCTTTAGTAAACTGAACCAGACCATGTGTGTAGATGGAGAAAACCTTAGGATCAATGACTATGCCTTGTAAAGTGTCCCAACAGAACTATATATTGTCAGCTCATGTTTTGGCATTTTTTAAAGAGTAAACCTCCCTGTCCATTTCTTATACCACTCAAAAACTCTATTGATGAGAACGTTTGCATTTCATAATGTGGTCATTGTGAGGAGTGTCCTTGCTCCCTTGGGTTTTAAATAATTGTATAATATGCAACACAAGATACATCAAGAGTCAGAATTTCATGCAAGGACCTTTCACTATTGGAATATGGAATACATATAGGCAGTGGTAGGCTTTTTGATAGCTGTCAAATCAGGTTACCTTCATGCCAGCTTGGGAAGCAGAAGCTGCCAATGCACAACTTTACATCTTATCTTTATGCTGAATGTCAAGAATCCTACATATAAGTTGGCTTTTTTTTTATGTTTATTAAATCACTTTTATGATTCTAATGAGGGCCCTATGCTGCTATTTTTTGTTGTTTGAGCTCATTGGATCTCCTCTTATCTCCTTTGTAAGCTGCAGGATTCTTGTTGCATGGCCATTGGTTTTCATCAAAATTCTGTTGGTATCTCGGACTGAGGTTATTGAAAGCTGGAACTTGTAGTGCACTGAACTGGTTTGTGTAATCAAATACATATAAGATGCCAAACGCTGGCTCACCAGGCTCCAACTGTAAATAAAATATAAATTCTGATGGGTTAATCATTTATGACTTGGACTATGCTCATCGGTTTTGGATTTTACTAACTCTCCCTTTAGAAATGTTAATTTATAGCATTAATAACGAGTCCCCTCCAAATGTCTTAGGAAAAGTTGTTGGAAATAGCACAGGCAGGAAATCCAGAGAACACAACTTGCCTCCAAAAGGTATATGGAGCCAGAGGGTGATTCAGTCTACCAACATTTAACCATAAATGTAATATCAAGTTTGGACACTTCTTATAGCAAAACTTAAATTGGAATATATCATTTGCAAGCAACAGGAAGGATTTTTTTTTATTGCAGAAGAGACATAGGAGTTGGTTTACTAAAGGCAAATGGATTGCTTACTTTGCAAAGGAAGTTTCACTTTGCAAGGTAATTCTCCCCAGAGCATAGTGAATGAGGTGTAGCTCTGTTGACTTCAAACATCCAAATATGTGCAATCAAAATTGCTGTTTTTTTTATTGTCCTTGCATGTAATTGGGAATTTTTTGCTAAATGAAAAAAACCCACATTCCCTAAGCTCTGGGAAGAGGCCCTTGCAAAATGCAACTTCCTTTGCAAAATGAACAGCCTTTTTGTCTTTGGTAAATAAGCTCCATATTATATCTCATTTGCAATAAAAGCCAGCTGCCTACCTCCTTGTAAACGTCACTGTTCGTTCTCAGCATATCTTTGTGCTGGGATGAATCAACTCTTGTACACATGCACAGGAAGTACGACATCCTGGGCTGGCTGATCAAGATGGCCTGAAGAAGACCAACCTGGAACAAGACCAGATGGAGATATTGTCACAGGCGTAGTGGAGATGGGTATAGGTTTCTTTAGGTCTTCCTTACATGCTTTAATATGGTATTTTGTGTGATTCCAACTAGAGATGAGCGAATCGAAGTAGGCGAAGTGGAATTCGAGTCGAATATTGGAAAATTGCGCGCCGAATCCGAAAAATAGCCTACTTCGGACGCGCGAATCGAAATTTTTCCTAAAATGGCGGCGGACATGTGCGGCGACGGAGCGGGGATGTCTGGGAAGGCGCGCAGACAAGGCGCGCTGACCCATAATGCATTCCTTAATGACATGTGATCGCATTAGCCAATCAGCAGCCAGGCAGCCAGCACTGTGTAATGGTCGAGCTATAAATAGCGGCCATTTTAGAATTCTTCATTTGCCTCCAGTCATTCAAGAGAGGCAGACCGCTCTGTATTAGGGACAGAGTTAGGGCCACAGAAACGTTACTTGGGGACAGAGAAACGTTACTTAGGGACAGAGAAGCATTACTCAGGGACACAGAATTGTTAATGAGGGCCACAGAATCGTTACTTAGGGCCAAAGAAACGCTAGTTAGGGCCACAGAATTGTTACTCAGGGACAGACAGAATTGTTACTGAGTGCCAGAGAATTGTTACTTAGGGCCACAGAAACGTTAGTTAGGGCCACAGAATTGTTACTCAGGGACAGACACAGAATTGTTACTGAGGGCACACAGAACTGTTACTTAGGGCCACAGAAAACGTTATTAGGGCCACAGAATTGTTACTCAGGGACAGACAGAATTGTTACTGAGTGCCAGAGAATTGTTACTTAGGGCACAGAGAAACGTTAGTTAGGGCCACAGAATTGTTACTCAGGGACAGACACAGAATTGTTACTGAGGGCCACAGAACTGTTACTTAGGGCCACAGAAACGTTATTAGGGCCACAGAATTGTTACTCAGGGACAGACAGAATTGTTACTGAGTGCCAGAGAATTGTTACTTAGGGCCACAGAAACGTTAGTTAGGGCCACAGAATTGTTACTCAGGGACAGACACAGAATTGTTACTGAGGGCCACAGAACTGTTACTTAGGGCCACAGAAACGTTAGTTAGGGCCACAGAATTTTTACTCAGGGACAGACACAGAATTGTTACTGAGGGCCACAGAATTGTTACTTAGGGCCACAGAATTGTTACTCAGGGACAGACAGAATTGTTACTGAGTGTGCCAGAGAATTGTTACTTAGGGCCACAGAAACGTTACTCAGGGGACACAGAATTGTTACTGAGGGCCACAGAACTGTTACTTAGGGCCCACAGAAACGTTAGTTAGGGCCACAGAATTGTTACTCAGGGACAGACACAGAATTGTTACTGAGGGCCACAGAATTGTTACTTAGGGCCACAGAAACGTTACTCAGGGACACAGAATTGTTACTGAGGGCCACAGAACCGTTACTTAGGGCCACAGAATTGTTACTCAGGGACAGACACAGAATTGTTACTCAGGGACACAGAATTGTTACTGAGGGCCACAGAACCGTTACTTAGGGCCACAGAAACGTTACTCAGGGACACAGAATTGTTACTGAGGGCCACATAAAACCGTTTACTTAGGGCCACATAAATTGTTACTCAGGGACAGACACAGAATTTGTTACTGAGGGACACAGAATTGTTACTGAGGGCCACAGAACCTTGTTACTTAGGGCCACAGAATTGTTACTCAGGGACACAGAATTGTTACTGAGGGCCACAGAACCGTTACTTAGGGCCACAGAATTGTTACTCAGGGACACAGAATTGTTACTGAGGGCCACAGAACCATTACTTAGGGCCACAGAATTGTTACTCAGGGACAGACACAGAATTGTTACTGAGGGACACAGAATTGTTACTGAGGGCCACAGAAACGTTAATCAGGGACACAGAATTGTTACTGAGGGCCACAGAATTGTTACTTAGGGCCACAGAATTGTTACTCAGGGACAGAGACAGAATTGTTACTGAGTGCACAGAGAATTGTTACTTAGGGCCACAGAAACGTTACTCAGGGACACAGAATTGTTACTTAGGGCCACAGAATTGTTACTTAGGGCCACAGAAATGTTAGTTAGGGCCACAGAATTGTTACTCAGGGACAGACACAGAATTGTTACTGAGGGCCACAGAAATTGTTACTTAGGGCCACAGAAACGTTACTCAGGGACACAGAATTGTTACTGAGGGCCACAGAACCGTTACTTAGGGCCACAGAATTGTTACTCAGGGACAGACACAGAATTGTTACTCAGGGACACAGAATTGTTACTGAGGGCCACAGAAACCGTTACTTAGGGCCACAGAAACGTTACTCAGGGACACAGAATTGTTACTGAGGGCCACATAACTGTTACTTAGGGGCCACATAATTGTTACTCAGGGACAGACAGAATTGTTACTGAGTGCCAGAGAATTTACTTACTTACTTAGGGCCACAGAAACGTTACTCAGGGACACAGAATTGTTACTGAGGGCCACAGAACTGTTACTTAGGGCCACAGAAACGTTACTTAGGGCCACAGAATTGTTACTCAGGGACAGACACAGAATTGTTACTGAGGGCCACAGAATTGTTACTTAGGGCCACAGAAACGTTACTCAGGGACACAGAATTGTTACTGAGGGTCACAGAACCGTTACTAAGGGCCACAGAATTGTTACTCAGGGACAGACACAGAATTGTTACTCAGGGACACAGAATTGTTACTGAGGGCCACAGAACCGTTACTTAGGGCCACAGAAACGTTACTCAGGGACACAGAATTGTTACTGAGGGCCACATAACCGTTACTTAGGGCCACATAATTGTTACTCAGGGACAGACACAGAATTGTTACTGAGGGACACAGAATTGTTACTGAGGGCCACAACCGAATTACTTAGGGCCACAGAATTGTTACTCAGGGACAGGACACAGAATTGTTACTGAGGGCCACAGAACCGTTACTTAGGGCCACAGAATTGTTACTCAGGGACACAGAATTGTTACTGAGGGACACAGAACCGTTACTTAGGGCCACAGAATTGTTACTCAGGGACAGACACAGAATTGTTACTGAGGGACACAGAATTGTTACTGAGGGCCACAGAAACGTTAATCAGGGACACAGAATTGTTACTGAGGGCCACAGAACCGTTACTTAGGGCCATAAGAAAGTTAATCAGGGACACAGAATTGTTACTGAGGGCCACAGAACCGTTACTTAGGGCCACAGAATTGTTACTCAGGGACAGACACAGAATTGTTACTGAGGGACACAGAATTGTTACTGAGGGCCACAGAAACCGTTACTTAGGGCCACAGAAACGTTAATCAGGGACACAGAATTGTTACTGAGGGCCACAGAACCGTTACTTAGGGCCACATAAAGGTTAATCAGGGACACACAGAATTGTTACTGAGGGACCACAGAACCGTTACTTAGGGCCACAGAATTGTTACTTGGTTACAGGGACACAGAATTGTTTACTTGAGGGACACAGAATTGTTACTGAGGGCCACAGAAACGTTACTTAGGGGCCACAGAAACTGTTACTGAGGGCCACAGAAACGTTACTTAGGGGCACAGAATTGTTACTGTTACACAGAATTGTTACTGAGGGCCACAGAATTGTTACTTAGGGCCACAGAAATTGTTTACTCAGGGCCACAGAATTGTTACTGAGGGACACACAGAATTGTTACTGAGGGCCACAGAATTGTTACTGAGGGCCACAGAACCGTTTACTTAGGGCCACAGAATTGTTACTTAGGGACACAGAATTGTTACTGAGGGCCACAGAACCGTTACTTAGGGCCACAGAATTGTTACTTAGGGACACAGAATTGTTACTGAGTGCCACAGAACCGTTACTTAGGGCCACAGAATTGTTACTCAGGGACACAGAATTGTTACTGAGGGGGCCACAGAACTGTTACTTAGGGCCACAGAATTGTTACTCGGGACAGACACAGAATTGTTACTCAGGGACACAGAATTGTTACTGAGGGCCACAGAACCGTTGTTACTTAGGGCCACAGAATTGTTACTCAGGGACACAGAATTGTTACTGAGGGCCACAGAACTGTTACTTAGGGCCACAGAATTGTTATTACTCAGGGACACAGAATTGTTACTGAGGGCCACAGAACTGTTACTGAGGGCCACAGAAAGGTTACTCAGGGACACAGAATTTTTACTGAGGGCCACAGAACTGTTACTACTTAGGGCCACAGAATTGTTACTCGGACAGACACAGAATTGTTACTCAGGGACACAGAATTGTTACTGAGGGCCACAGAACCGTTACTTAGGGCCACATAAACGTTAATCAGGGACACAGAATTGTTACTGAGGGCCACAGAACCGTTACTTAGGGCCACATAATTGTTACTCAGGGACAGACACAGAATTGTTACTCAGGGACACAGAATTGTTACTGAGGGCCACAGAACCGTTACTTAGGGCCACAGAATTGTTACTCAGGGACAGACACAGAATTGTTACTCAGGGACACAGAATTGTTACTCAGGGACACAGAATCGTTGAATTAAAGAGTATGTCAGACAACATGCAGAGGAGTGGCAGAGGAGGCAATGTTTTAGGAGCGAGCAGACGTGGCAGCAGAGGAAGGGGTCGAGGCAGCACTATTCGCAGCCAGAGGCCAGTGCTCCCGGTGTCATCCAGCGGTCGTGTCTCCACCGACAACCCTGCCGTCGTCGATTGGTTGGCTCGGTCGTCTTCTTCTCTTCCCAGGTCACCTCTGACACCTACAGCCAACGGTCGGTGGGGTACGTCAGACACAACCGTTAGTTGGCATGGCCCGGGACCAAGCCCACTGAAATCACGTGTCCTCTACCTGCCCCTGTCCTTTGGTGTTCCCTCACCAAGCGAAGTATCGCATGCTGTGGGCTCAGCCCCACTGTACAGTGAGGAAGAGCTAACAGAGGGCGGTCAGGAACGGGGGGAGGAGACATCCGCCTTTTCAGCAGCCAGGCGAAGAAGTAGAGTGTGGCGAGGAGAGTGGCTCGGTAGCCGGTCTAGAGACAGGTCTGTCTCCTGACCCAGACGCAGCCGAGGGGGGCTAGTAGTGAGGCGGAGACCCTACTTGATGATGAGGAGGTTGATCGCACTTGGCAGCCTCGTCGTCATCAGGCAATTTCTTCCGCATCATCAGGAGAAGAGGGTGCCAGCTTGGCAGCGAGCAAAACAGTCGGTGGGTTGCCCAGGAGACAGCAGCAGGGTCGCAGCAGTGTCAGTGGAGGCAAACGGCCACGGAGTAGAGCACCAGCTCCACTGCAGCCTACCACCACGGCCAGTAGTGGTGCCGGTGTGCACGGAGGAAGCAGCAGTCAGCCCAGTGAGGAGTATCGGGGGGCAAAGTTTCCTACTCGGCGGTGTGGCAATTTTTTGTCAAGCCGCCCGAGGAAGTAAACGTAGCCGTATGTCGACTATGTGGCCAGAAAGTCAAGCGTGGCCAGGGGGGGCCCATGTTGGGACTACAGCGTTGCGGGCAGCTGCATATGCAGCGTCGCCATTTGGTGGCCTGGGAAAACCGTGATAAAAGATACGGCGGTTCTGCCCGCCCCAGCCCCCGCTCCATCACCCGCTCCGTTACTTGCTCCGTCACACCCGACGTCAATCGCCCTCCATCAGCCAGTCAAGGCTCCAACACCTCTGCTGAGGGGAGTTGTCGCTCGTTGGCATCTTCCCGCTCGTTCAGATGCTCCTTCTCCTGCTACTCCTCTTCACGGATTCCGTCAGCAGTCTTTCTTGGAATCCGTTTCCAAGAGACAACAGTTTGCGAGCACGCACCCGACGCGGTGCAAAAGCTGAACGTCCTCCTGTCCAAGTTGCTGGTGCTGCAGTCCCTCCCTTTCCAAGTGGTGGACTCAGCACCTTTCCGAGAAAATGATGGCTTGTGCCGCCGTGCCGCGCGCCGCGGTGGAGAGTGCCAAGCCGTCATTTCTCTTGCCAAAAAGGCAGTGCCAGCCCTGCATTCACATGTAGAAGAGATGGTGGGGCCAGTCTTTGAGCATGTCGGTCTCTGCCAAAGTGCACGGCAGCGCCGACGTGTGGAGCTGTAACTACGGTCAGGGACAGTACATGTCATTTACGGCCCACTGGGTGTGAACGTGGTGCCGTCACAGCCGCACCAGCAACTTGGACAGGTCACGCCGCTTTTGCCTCCACGTTTGCACGTCCTTGGTCCGGCAAAGATGTCCGCCTCTACCACCTCTTCTTTCCGCCGTGTCCTCAGCCGCCACCCCCGTGCCAAGTCCCATTACCCGACCGGCATATCACATGTGCAGGGCGCAACGGTGTCACGCTGTGCTGCACCTGGTATGCCTTGGCGAACGTAGTCACACAGGGGAGGAACTTCTCAGTGTAATGAACAGAGAAATCGACAGATGGCTGTCTCCGCGCAAACTGAAAATCGGAACCATGTTGACCGACAACGGAAAGAACATGGTGTCTGCTCTGCGTCAAGGAAGGTTGTGCCATGCGCCATGCATGGCTCACGTGTTCAATCTGGTTGTCAAGCGGGTTCCTAAAATCCACCATCCCACTG